TTCAGTTAATTTTATCTCCAAATCATTTTCTTTTGATTCTTCATTGATGCTAATTTGCGTTCTCTTCTGACTCTTCAACTAATGCTAATTTTTGTCTACATTGATTGTCTACAATTGAAAATTTTTTTTGCCTAGCGCTACATATTTGCCTTTACTGCATAAATATTTTGCTGTATCCAAGTTAATTTCCCAAAGACTGCCTAAAAAAAGCGATAAACTCTTTTATTATGTATAAAAATTTGAATAAAACCATTTAAAGTTAAAAGTGCGCTTTCAAGAGTCACCTAAATGTTAGGTTAAATATAGCTAAAATAGAATTTGATTGCAAAGAATTACATTATTGTATCTCACAACATTTTCACAAAACTAAAAGTTATGATTACTATAAATACCTTTTATAACTTAGTTATAACAATTGCATGAATTGCAGCATCATGTTAATTTAGGTACATAACTTCAAATAAACATGTTTATGATGGAGACAAGTTGTTGGTTTGACATTAATTATTGTGAGCCCAGTCCTCCACATTAATATTTCTCTTTCATATTCAGGAATATCTTTAAAAGATTCGATTCCAAGCAACAATGTGTATGTTGAAAGATGACATTCTTTTTCTAGCTTGATTCCAATGGAGCATTATTGGTTGTTTGCCATGACTAAGAAACTGAATTACTAAACAAGACTCAATAATTTTTTAATCTAAAATTAAAATAATTTTAAGCTTAAACAACTGGTGTTTCAGCGATATAGCTGATGTCACAAATCTATATTTATACATCATAGCAGGCATTGCAAAACAATATTTTTACATAATAATTCTCTTCACAAGACTTCATTTATATATCAAAACCAACCTCAATAAACTGCTTTTACACATCACAACTGAAACCATGAGAGTGAGACAACACGTAAAAACATTACCCTTTTAGTGTTAAGTGAATTTTTACCATTACAAAAAAAAAAAAAAAACAGTTATCAAACATTTTGAATTAAGTTATTTTCTTTTCTCCTTTGGTTTCAGTGTCTTCAAAAATGATTAGGTACCAATTTTCAGTCAGTTTCTTCCACTAAAACTTAAATTATGTTCACATATACAATTGCTAAAAAAATCTATGAATTTGGGTTTGAAAAAATTTATTTAGTTGAATTTGAGTCCAAATAAGGATTTTTTTATCTAAATTTCAAAATGACATACCTTTATAATACTTTAAGAAACCAAAACCATCTTTTTTATAAAGATAGCCTAGGATCACCTACTTCATTTGAAATAAAAATCCATGAAACTAGGACAACTCCAGAAGTTAATGAAAGCACAACCTATGGTAACAGAACAAAAATTTTGACTGACCATTTTAAAATCAAATAATAACCATCAAACAATTTAAATTTTATTATTTTCTCTACATTTTTTAATCAGCACCCTCAAAAATGGTCAGGTACCCATTTTTAGCCACACAGATCCACTAGATCTTAAGTTATTTAGTAAATAGTACAAAACTGCAAAATCCATAATTGCGGACTTGTTGAAAAATGGAATGTTTTAGGCTGAATTTCAAAGCGCCATAACTTTTGAACATCATAACGTATGAGATTCAAACTTCTTATGAAGGTGAAGTATTTTACATTTGGCTGCTATGAATACCTAATTTTGCATAGTATCAACCTGTTTTTGGTAGTTGCACACCTTTTATGTGTGTAATACACATTTTAATAAGTTTGTGCATTAATATGAGGTTTGCGCTTTTTATAAGGGAAAATTTTTATTGGTTGCTATGAATACCTAATTTTGCATAGCAACAACCTATTTTAATAGTTGCAGATTTTTTATGAGTTCTATATTCACTAAACTTTGTTATGAGTAGCTGCAAAATTGATAATTTTATTGGAAACATATATTGCTTAACAACCAGATACTTTCCTTAATTACACAGAGGTACATAAATTTTAAAATATATTTTTATCAAATTTTTAACCGTCTTTTTTTTTTAATTAATTAAGTATTAAAGTAATTAATTTTAGAATTTAGGTAATTAATAATAAAAACAAAAAAATAGTGCAAGAAAACATTGGCGATTCAAAGTACATCTACAGTTTATAAAACATACATACATGCATAAAATAAGAAATTATATTTTGGGTCAACACATATTTAAATAATAAAATTAAATTTTTATCCTATGGCCTATTCTAATATTAATTTATTACAGCTTAAAGTCTTATTAATATCCATAACTGTGGCTAAGTATTACCTTTTAAATGTTAAATTGTAATATAATCAGTACTGTTGCTATGCTAACATAACTATATTAAGGTATCCATAGCAACAAAATAAAAATATGACTTTCATAAGAAGTCTGAATTTCATTTTAATACACACGGTTATTATTAAGACAATCCTAATCACTTTCACTTCTCGTTTACTATATCTTGAATACTACTATATTTTGTATTTTACCTTAGAAGTTAGATTCTAGAAGCTTTTCAAAAATGTAATATTTAATTTTAAAAGGCTAGCATTCTGCATCTCATGTATGGGTCTGATCTTATTAACTCTTCTAAGGTAGAACTATTTGTAAACAATTTTTCATCAAACGTATCTATTGAATCTAATTTAAGTACTCCTCCATGTCATCTTAAAAAACTGGTTGATCCACTTTAAAAAAAAAGTTTAAAAAAACTTTCAAATTACTTTTGCCTCTGCTAAAATTATTTTTTACTCTGAGTTTTTTACAACTTGTTCATTTATAGTGATTGAGTTGAAAGGTTGTAGTGATTTAAAAGTAATACGTAATTGTAAAACCATAGAAAGTTATCTAAAAGCAATCGCTAGCTGGTATATTTTAGTAATCTGTAAATCAAAATAAGTTTATAACAAGTATTTTGGTGATAGAGATGCATCTTTCAACAAAGTTATGCAAACTCCAAACACTATGAGATGTAGTTTAGTATTACACCTGAAATTTATTAAACTTGAATTATTTATAATTATCAATTTATCAAAGGTTCTTAATTTTTATTAGTTTTGCTTTACTAAACTTTAAGTTGGAATCAAGTGTTATCATGTTATCATGTTATCTGCAAGCATTAAAAGCATTAAAAGAGTGTTAGCTTCTTATCAAGAATAAATGGTAGTATCATCAGCGAGCAATGCCACCTTAGATGTGAGAATATCTGGAAGATCGTTAATGTAAATTAAAAAGAGTATATGGCCAAGGATAGAACCTTGAGGAACCCCATGAAGGTACATGGTTTGAAGAAGATTGATGTCCATCAAGGACAAGCTGGAAAACAAGACTCTGATAAGCACTTGTTAAATAGTTTTGAAAGTATAGGCGACAGCTCCAGACAACACTGCAAAACTTTAACAGGTATATTGTTCGGACTACAAGTTATAGAAGAGTCTAACTAGGAAATCATTTTAGATACAGAATCTGGAATGATACAAATGTCAAGCAATGGATCAACTTGAGAGTGAATTCTTTTACTATTAACATCTAACTTGAATGAATTTGTTTACTGTTAACACCTAACTTGAGAGTGTATTTGCTTAAAAACGTGTAGTAACTTTTTTTTAACAATTAATTTATCTTTAAAAGATCTTGGTAAAAAAAAGAAAAATATGGCTTGTGAAAACTTTTTAGTTAAGTATAATGAGAATGCTAAACTATTTTTTAAAAAAATAAACAAAGGTATAAACTATAATAAGTTATTATAAAGTATCAGTTTGAACACAACATGTATTTAAATGAATGTTGATAAAATAAATCTAGCAGTTCAAAAATGCATTAAAAATAATATTTAAGTTTTTGTAAACCTTTCTACATTTTTTATTTATTTATTTAAAAGCTACTATTTTGAGAATATGTATATATATATATATATATATATATATATATATATATATATATATATATATATATATATATATATATATATATATATATATATATATATATATATATATTTAAACAATTTAAAATGTATTTTACAAAAAAAGTGCTCAATGTTCTTAAAAAAACAGAGCAATAATAAATTAGAAGAAAATCATTTAACAAAAATATTTTTCATTTTACACTGTGTTTCATCAACAAAGACTCATCAGAAATGAATGATCAAGTTAATAAAACTTCATTTTATACCAAAAAAATTAAATTACAGGAAGTCGCAAATGTTTTAACTACTGTAAATTTTCACACATTTGTGGAATTTGATGACACTATTATAAAAGAATTCTTTAGACATGATTACTAATGCTTTTTTATAAAACTATTTTTAAAAGGGGGGGGATTTAATGTAACTATTATTTGAGCTCACTTATTTTTATAGTTTTTTAGAAGAAACTTTTTTTTGTGCCTGCATTTAGAAATCAGTTCCGATTTTTTGTTTAACAAACATTCTTTGTTTGCATGTGTAATTATTTCAAATTTTTCTTGTAGACATAGCATGTATTTTTTGGAAATATTGTTGTATGCAGGTGCTGTTTTAGGGATGGACCAATTTGGTATAAAATCATCAATATTATTATATTTTAGTTATCACATATATTTTGGCAGCATGGTGTCTCTTGAATACTTTTTATTTTTAAAAGATTGCTTATGATTGGCAAAACGCTTTTTCCATTCACCCTCTGTTATGCCAATATATTGTTTATCGGGTACATTCTTAGAGGAAACAAAACATTTATAAACTACATTTTTTGATAAACAACTTCCAATCATTGGACAATTGTTTTTTTATTTACAATTACAGTTTTTAATTGTAATTGTAAGCAAAAAAACAATTGTCACTCTATTTGACCAAAAAAACAATTTAATTTTTTTGGTATAAATTGAAGTTTTATTAATTTGATCATTCATTTCTGATGAGTCTTTGTTGATAAAACACAATGTAAAATAAAAATAATTTTTGTTAAGTGGTTTTCTACTGTTTGTTTATTTATATATATATATATATATATAAATATTTTTTTTATAAAAAACTATGCAAAAATTTTTGGTAGGCTGCTTCATTTGAAAGTCAACTGTGGTTGTTAAGCAGTATGAATTTGATGACACTATTCAACTTTTATGTGATATGCTTCAGTCATCTTGTATGTCTTTAGCACATAATGCATCTCTTGCCATAGCAAGGTATATTTTTAAAATTTTTTTTGTTATAAGAAAAGTAGTGTGAAATTGAGTTAACAAAGTTTTTAGAAAAAAGCAATAGTTAACAGTAGTGCCCATTTCTATTGGTAAAAATCAAAGTTAAAGAAAGCAACCCTGAGTGATATTGGTTTGTGGGAGATTATTTCTTAAGTTGTACAATATTTATCAGATTTCATTGTATGTTAACTTGATACAAAGTGGTTAAATTTGTTTTTGCATGTTTAACTTGATACATGGTGGTTAAATTTTTATACAGTCCCATAAACTTTAAGAGAGAGGCAAACCTTACAATTTTATATATGTCGTATATATTTTTACTTAATAATTCTTTATTATTATTTCTTTATTATAAATTTATTTTATATATATATTTTATTTGATATATTAACTTATTTTTTATTTATATTTAAAAAAAATAAAATCTTAAAAAAAGTCTTAAGTATCATTAAAAAGAAGAAATATAGTACATTGAAATCAGGAAATATTAAAAAAGTCATTATTATTTTGTTACTATCAAATATTAAAATTTTAATTTCATATTTATTAAATAAATTAAATTTAGAGATTTATATTTCAATGCATTATATTTAAATGCATTAAAAAATAAAGATGCACAAGTATACCTCATGTGTAAGTATACCTCATGCCTAAGTATACCTCATGCGTAAGTATAAGCCACGATGTGATTAATGGGAACTTTGCAAATCAAACAACAGTAGGGGAAGACAGGGAACATTCGATCACTTAACTGGTTTTTATTAATTTACAAATGATTTTTTACCCAAAAACATTTAATTTTTTTTACCATTACAAGTAATGGTCTTAAACCAACAAAGTAAAAAGATATTGTATATAAAATATTGATTTTTGTCAAATCTACCACTACTTTAAAAGTAAGCCTCAAAGTGGTTGAATGTACCCCACTGTTGGGGTACATTCGACCACCTAGTGGCGTACTTTCAAACATATCATTATTAGCAAAATAATAAATCTATAAGTTTTCTTTCTTACAAATGTTTTATTGTACAATAAAAACTTTCCACAAAATATTTAAAAACAAATAGTAATAGCTGTTTTACAACAAGATTTGCAAAGTTATATCGAAATAAAAATAATGTTGCCATTCTTTCCGTCTTTTATGGAGTCGCAGACTTTAAAAGCGTTTTTTTTTTCAGTTTGATGACTTTTCTTTTTTTTTAATTTCTTTCAAATGAAGTTTTTCAATCTTTTTTTTTTTAGGAATGTTAGCATATATCGTTGACTTGATTTCCTCTTTATTTATTTTGTCTTTGAGAAGCTTTAGGCAAGGGCTGCACTGGAATCAGTTTTTAATTGTTAGAGTTGCTCTAGTAGTTGCAATAGGAATGCGTTCCATTAGTAAATAAGAGTGGTAAATTATTTTGTAATGGTGTACTTATTACCCCTAGACTTTCACTTGGTTCTCCCATTAGGGTTCTGTTTGTGACATGTCTGAGTATGAAATCTTTTTGCAGCTTGTGGTTCAGACAGTGAACTATTGAAAATACTAGTAATTTTTTCTAATACCACATTTTCATTTCTTTTATTTCTATATGTTTTCATTACATATTTTCAAGGCATCTAAAAGATAAGAGAAAATTATCATGGTATTTTCAAGCACCGGTCGAATGTTCCCCTGCTAGGTAGGTTAAATGTACCCCACACATATTATATATAAACAAATGCTGTTAAAAGCCAAAATCAATTTTTTTAAAGTAAACCAAACACAAGGGTTTTTAACTCAATAAACTCATTAAACAATAAACAACAAAAAAGTTTAGGAGGTTAAAATTGGAAAATTGATTCTCTGCGGATTATTTAAAACAAAAAAATTACCTTTTTGCATCAATAATTTTTTCTATAAAAGTACTAATACTAATAAAGATAGATTGATATTTATTTCCTGCAATAGCTTTTAACAGACAAAACATGGATACAAATTTCAATCGTTAATTTTTATCGTGTTGGGAAATATTTGAAAAGGTCGAATGTTCCTCATGGTTGAATGTTCGCTGTCTTTCCCTACCTATCAAAACTGAGAGCTCAGTAAGGAATAGTGTAGTTTTTATTAGTCTCACAAAAAGCAAACTTTTGCAAGAGATTGGAAGGTTAATATGAAGTCTAAGAATATTTGTAAAAGATTGAAACAGTTAGGTGGTGAACATGGTTTTTCATGTAATATATTTTGGGTTACTTTTTAAGCATTTAAGTTTAAAGAGAACTTGATTTATTCATAGAGCACAGGGTCCCAAGCAATGAAATATGCAGTTATGTTAGTCCTGCTAGTTACCCAAAGTCATAACTCCTTATGCGGCTTTGACAATGGGCATCAAAAGCATTAACAGGAACACCAGCCAACTTGGCACTGTTAATAGTCCAATATTTTATAGCTGTTGATGGAATCAGTAGTTGGATACAGTTATCTACCCAAAATGAATATTTTTTATCATGACACTCTATTTTTACTTTGTAAAAGTAGAGTAAGTAATAATAAAAGTAGTTTATTTGTGCAACAAAAGTAGTTTATTTGTACTACAAAAAAAATTGTAAAATTATTTGACTGAGTTCGAGAACGATCAAATATTGAATAAAATGCTTTAGCCTCCCCAATCACAAGATCTCTCTTCTGTTAGAGTTTTTTGGAAAGTAATATCAAAAAACAAATGATGCATAATATGTGGAAAAAACTTATTAGTTTTTTCAACATCTTATGCATTGAAGTCATTAAATTTGGATAAGTTGAATGTTTTAATATAAGTAGAATGCCAAGAATAAGTATGGCAGTTATTTTCGCTAAGGATGATTAAAAGACAAGTAGATTATAAACTAATCTACAGGCTTGGTCGGGAAGTGGGAATTATGCTCTCAAATACTGACCACGGAAATTATATTTAGTTGCAAAAAACTGGCTAGGTTTTTTAGTCATTTTGAAAGCATCTAAGTTTATGTACGAAACAAAAAGTTTTGTTTTACGGACATACATGGAAACATAAAAAACTTGAATGTTCTCAAAACATCGCAAAAGAATAAAAAGAATATTCGCAAACACTAAAAACCCACCAAATTAACGAACAAACTAATTCTAATGGTTCAAAAAATATGCTGATTAAGCATATTTTTTATTCAAAAAATATGCTGATTAAGCTGATTAAAGTTCTAGAGTATTCTGTTGAAATGTTTTAGAAATTGTATTATTCACGATTTGTTACGCTTTGAGATTTCTAGCATAAATTGTTGTAAGAATATATATTATTTGTTTACAAAAATAAATGTTTTAAATATATATTAATTAAATTTTCAAAATTTTAAAAGTTTATTATAAATTATAGATTTTAATAGTATATTCTTATTTTTTCTTTAAAAAGTATGTATTCTTTATGTAAATGTAATTTTGTGTATATGTTTTTTATCGTAATGTATCTTTTAAAGCGATTTTTATGATGTAAAAGACTTCAAAAATAATTGCCTTTTCAATGAAGTTATAAAACTAATTAATTTTAGAAGTTATAATCGTTAAAGTTAATAAAACTAATTATGTAACAAACATATGAGAAGTTTCTGGTTACTAAACACAAACAACGCATACAAAGTAACTCGCGGATGAACAAGCACCGTGTCTGAGGTCACGACAGAACACAAATATATATAGCAAATAATTAGATGTAAAGAAAATTTTCTAGATATTGGTTTACTAACTAATTTACTAATTATTTAGTTTACCAGTTTACTAATTATTTTTGCTTAAGTTGCCATTCTTAAAACTCATTATACTTTTTTCTGCTTTAAATACTAATTAAAATTAAAAAGCCCACTCACTAAACATCATCAGCGATATTGTGAAGCAGTTTCGCTTCCCTGTCATAAAGTATTTTTAACCTTTTTAGTTGATTGTTTTTAGATATCTTGTTAATTTAATTTCAATGATATATGTTCAATGAAATATGTTCAAATACGTTAAACTTTTCAAACTACGCAAAACATAAAATTGGTATTAAAAAATTAACTTTTTTATTTATAAAATAATTTAACTTAAATAAAACTAAAACTTGCAAACTTTGATTATTGCAAAATAAAGAATATTTTGTTTCCCTTTTAAACAATTGTAAGTTGTTACTTTATATAAAAAACATCGCTTAGTTTTATTAAAAAAACTTTTAAAGAGTGATGTTTAGAAGATATTTGTTTTAAATGTAATTTACTTAGCTTTAAGTTTTTTCGCGTTTAAAGATATTTTATTTGCCTAATTTTAATTTTTTTGTAATTGTCTCTCATTGATCCAATTAATCTTAAACTTTTTTAAAATGTTTTCATAACGACTAAAAAACTGGCCAGCTTTTCGCAACTAAATATCATTTTTGTGGTCAGCAATCGAGAGCAATTGCTTCTTTTTATAAAACATTGAAGTATCAAATTTACTATTTACAGAGTTAATCATTGTATCAAGAAAATTCAATTTGTGATCTTCCTCTTTAGTAAATTTTAGATTTGGATGTTGTTTATTTATATATTTTAGAAAAGTGATTTATATATTCTAGAAAAGTGTTATTGTTATTTTCAAAGATATAAAAGATATCATCTGCATACCTTTTGTAGACACTACACAACAAGGGTTTCAGAACACTTAAATTCAGATAAGCCTTCCCATATTTACAAACACCTCAAGTCATTACAAAAATGCAAAATTTCAACAAATACTGATTGCTTTTCCATTATTGACAAAGCTTCCTCCAAGTATGAACTCAAAATAAAGGGATCCATATTGAGATGGAAAAAACCTATTCTTAGTACGCAATTAAAATTATACACTATTACTATAGCAATATAATTTCTCAATTATCTTACTTTTTATTTCCTATTTTGTTTATTATTAATTATTTCACACCATTTATATAATCTTTTGTGAAATTTCATGGTAATTATTTATTTTATGTAACTATGGTACCTATTGCAAAAAAACTATTAAA